TAAGTAAAGGAATTTCCATGGTCCTGAAACATATTCAGAAAGTTCAAATCCAATCTGGGAAATAATCAATAACTTTGTGAGCACTCAGAAACAATTAGATATATGCCTACTTGCCTTCCCCTGTTATGGACACAAGGAATTTTGAAATATTCCCCCAGCCATATGTTTCTGATACATGATACATTCATAAATATAGGTCAGATACACAGAGGAGTGGGAAACAGTTACTGGCCGTTAAGCAGGAAGAGATGAAAGAGGAAAATCAGAAGGGCCTGAAGTAGCATATAACCAAGATGCTTTAACAAATGCTTTGCTGTAGAAGTAAATTTTTAGGAGGAAAAAGAGTGCATTGCCAGGAGCAGAAATGGGGTACATCTGTATAGTTCTCAAATAAGTTTCTAGCTAAAATCAAATCTCCAATGTATTACATAAGGCCTTCTGGGGAAAAGAGGTGACAACATCTTATACACTATCACTTACTATATCATCCTCATAGCCTCCTGCCAGAACCAAAGAATAGGCTCCGTCAGTACTTCTGCCGTGAATACCTGCGACATGAGGCCTGTGGACACCTGACTCGCTCACCTGAGTGAAGAAACACAAATTCCAGAAGTCAGAAGGTTGTCTTTGGTGCTGGATAATATTTAGGCATGGCAAATCCAAGTACAAGCATTAAGTGACAAAGAACCACATAACAGCACTTCCCTTCCAAAGAAATAGATACAAGGACACAAGAACAAGAGCAGATTCTCCAAGGTTTGTAGTCCCTCACAACCATGACTTAAAGAGGATCTGCCCACACCCACCTTTGTGTACCCTTTGTTCTTACTCCCTCTAAATTCAAAGATTTTTTTTTCCCTATCAACAGCTCTCCATTTCCTCATTCACCCACCCCAGATACATCACCATTCCTGTTCCAGAAACAGCATCTCACCTGGACTCTGAACTTCCACATGGTGCCTACAGGAACTCCAGGAATTGGTCCGTAATGGTTTGATGGGACAATGGTACATTCCCTCGTGCGGCCTACACATGCCATACCCTTTTAAAAAATTAAGAAATAGCAACAAGTTGACACATATTACTCTGTCAAGCCAGTGTTGTAGACAAGAGACAATATGGAGCTCAAAAAGTAAGCACATTCATTGGCTGTTCAACCAAAAGGTAGAAGAAACCACATAGCTCTCCAGATGTTGGGACCACAACTCCCTGCATTCCTCATCACTGGTTAGGGCTGCTATAACTTGCTCTCCAACACCTTCCTTGAATTCTGACCTGTGCCCCTTGTGAACATTTCACCAAGGAATGCCAAATGCCATTTTGAACAATTACAAATCAAGGAAGATACACCACATCTCCTGAGATGCAAGGGTGAGCATACAGATGTGTCTGGGAAACTTTCCAAACATACCAATCAATCTTCTTTAGCACTGACATGGAAAATCAGGGTACACTCACCTTACCCCAGTCCCGCTGAGAGGATGAATTAGCAGAGGCCATCTTAGCTTTCTTCTTGCTTTCTTTCAACTTCTCGCCAGCCAAAACTACCTCACTTGTATCATTGCGACATTCGGGGCAGTACCTGTTATTGAAAAATTGGGGGAGGGGAGAAAGTTGATGTCTTTTTCTTTAAATGGTTTCACGGGATTTTTCTGTCTACATTAGAAGCCACATTCAACATTTCAAACAGTATTTATAGCTGTTCATTTTGACTTACCAATCCTCATCATCTGGTATTCTGTTAAGAGGTGGGTCGAGACAGTAGATGTGGAAAGCCATGTCACACTCATCACACATAAGCTGTTTCTCAGGATCCTGTTTCCCGCCACAGATGTAACAGGCACACACCCGGCACATTTTGCTAGGGTTGTCTTTACAGTGCTTACAGACTGGTCCACTCTGTCCTGTAGAAAGTAAGGCACACCAATACCCTCCAGGCTGAACAACCAAAGACACCAAAGCCACAAAACTATTCCCATCTCTTTATTCCACTGCCTTCATAAACACATTTGGTGAGAACAGGGGAGAGGGCCTCCTTACTGGCTATGCCCTAACTTTGGAATTCTCTCACTAGAGGCATTAGGGTGCTTCCTTCTTTAAACTTTTCAGCAACAACTTAAGACCTTGCTATTCTAGCAAGCCTTTGGAAACTGGTTATTAATAAGATAGTGCCATACAGTTTTTAATCTGTTTGGAAATAATATTTCCAAGGCTTTAATTCCACTGTTAATGTATTACTGTTTTAATGTCAACAGTTGTATGTTTTTACCATATGTTATCATGATAACTTTCTGTTTTTTGTAAGCTATTTTATATCCCAGCTGAGGAAAAGGCAGGATATAAATAAAGTGATGGATGGTTTTGAGTTTCAAAAATATACTTTATACTTTTTTGCAACGTATCACCCAGAATACCCCAGCCAGCCACTTTTTAAAATTCTGGAACTCACTGCCACAATATGTGGCAATAGGACCCTGAATAGCTTTCAAACAGAATTAAACAACTTCCCAGAGAATGAAATATCAACAAGATATTAGCCATGATAGCTAAAAGATCGGAAATAGATTGGTTGTCTCTAACTGAAGTGTGGCATCCCCCCCAAAAAAAGAACTACTCTCTGGTGGTAAATGCGGGTGAGAGAGACATAAGGCTCACTTTTCATTGGACTTTCAGCCGTGAGTGGAACAGCACATCCTGGCTCTTCTATTTTGTAGATCTCATCAACAATGGTAATCCGGCAATCATTCAGGACATCCCCACCATCACTAGAAAGTAAGCAGATTAGAATAGACTATGTGTGTGTAACTACTGCAAGAACAGATCCTTCCCACTCAATTTCCATTTCCAATTCCAATTCCACATAGTACGTTATTGCACCCCCGACACGCATTTCCATACTGCCATCATCACAGATTGAAAATAGAGTAGCAGGGAATCAAACTTCCCTTGGAAGTTTGGTGGATGGCTTGCGCTCATGGCCTGTTCCTTACCCAAGAACTATCTTGGCAAATAACTCCTTGTAAGTCCTGGTTTCTCGCTTTTGTACGATCTCCGCATCGTACCAAAATCCCCTCTCCTTTGGATCATCAGGATTGTAATTCAGCATAACGACATCACCTACTTCTAGTTCCTCCCACTTCAGAGTAGTCCTGGCACGAGCACGAACATTTTTGGAGCTCAGCTGGATGACACCATTCTCTGGATAACTAGATTCAGGAGAGGATGAACAAACAAGGAACAGCAAAAAGAGGCATGAGTTAAGTTTGTTTAATTCTAATCCACAATCAAGACACGATATAGCACCCTGCAAAGCAACCACTAGCTACCCTTCCAACCTGGTAGCTCACAAAGGGGCATGGAATGCTAACCAAAATGCCAAGACAATCCCAACCCATCCCTTCAGCGCCCAGTTTGGGGACTAAGAGCTAACAAATACATGGAAGCCTGGCTTTATTGAGATCTAACTTGTAGCTCCAGTGTTTGGCTCCATGGTACATATAACATATAACTTTTCTAAAAAATACTAGGAAAAAAACCCTTACTCTTCATATTTCACATGATAGATGATGTCCTCATCAGGGATGGTTTCTTGCAGATCCGACTCCTCATCCCTTTCACTGGCCTTGTTGGCTGCTTTTGCTTTCTGGGTAACATTGACCACTATGGCTTCAAACCAAGCTCCCATGCTTGTATCGCGAGCGTCCACCAACTCATTGATCTGAAAACAGAAGCCCAAAGCCAAACCACTTAGTTGCTTTCAAACAAGCCAAACAGTGAATGCAGTCATTGCAAAGTCTGAAGTGCTTTTATTTCTCAAAGTAACAAAACCTAGAACTCTCTTTCATCCTAAGTGGCCAATCTGCAGTGTAATTTGTAGGGTTATCTCAGGCAAGGCATATAACAACAACAACAACAATAATTTTTATTTATATCCCGCCCCTCTGCCACGCAATCGGGGTGGCGGCAAAGTCAGCAAAAGTGTATGGTCTCAGTCCTAGGCAAAGCCATGGAAGTTCCATGAGCCCAGCAAGGGCAAGCTGCACTATTCTTGCTTGTTTCTGCTGTGCTGCTGCATGGAGACTACCTGAGTAAGACTGGAAAGGAAATCACAGCTAGGTCCACCAGTGGATTTGAGTATTACCACAGCATACTTTGAGCTAAAATTGGGGCTCCTGGCACCTCATCCCTCTGTTTGATATTAACCTTGGATAAAAACCCAGCTAGCTTTTAGGTCTTTAACCCAACCTCCTCAGTGGACAGAAATACTACTTCTGTGAAATCACTTGCAAAAATTAGGTAAGAAATGTAAAGCCACCAGCTTGCTTGCCAACTGAATCCAGTCTGAGCAGCTGCAATTGGGAGAATCCCAACTTAACACACTTAACACACCACTTCCCAAAACACAGTTCAGAAGACTCTTTCAGAAGTCACAAAAGTTAAACTTTTTAATAACCATAGTTATAAAAAATATGTAAACTTTCAGCCTTTAAAGAATAGACACCTCTGTTTAAGAACAGAAATACCTGATAATATCACATGAAACCATCTCACCTTGTAGAATCCAAAGCCTGGGTCCACCAAGTCAATCTGAGTGGCTGTGTTGGGTTGCCCCTCCATCTCCACAGAGCCCTCGCCATTATTGGAGCTTTTATCAGATTCGCTTGGTCCTGAGCCACAGCCTGAGTCTGTGTCTGAAAGTTCAGAGTCCTTTTCTTTGCTAGGCACAGACTGGAGGGCAGGGCTTTGCCTTACCAGCAATTGAACAATATCATTCAAGCCAACACTGTAATCAAAAAGGGAATGGCCATCTTCCATCTGTATAAGAATTAAAGGAATATAATGCATTACATAAAATCCAACAGCCATTCAGTTTATATTAAATTGCTGTGCATACATGTCCCAAAATGAAAGGTTTTCTCCAATTTGTTCAGAGAAAGTTTGCCATTGTCTTCCCCCGAGACTGAGAGTCTGTCTTACCCAAAATCACCCAGTGGGATTCGTGGCTAAGCTGGGAATAGAACCCTGGTCTCCAGAGTTGTAGTCCAACACTCAGACCACTAAACCACGCTGTTACCTTATCCTTTGCCTCAAATAATGGAAAAATCCTGACTGCTACACAAGTGTATGGATTAATAGCCAGAACACCTACTGCTTTCACAGCACATCAAGGCAATAATTTTGAAAAGCAGACGGGGAATCATTCCTCTTACTTTGCAACACAATTTAGTTGAGGACACTGGCCCAACAAACCATGGTCTTTTGAACCAAAGCCAAGTGGTATGCTGGTATGCTCCTACTTCCTCTGTCAAAAAACCAAAAACAAATAACCCTATACGATATGTTCAATCACCCCTAACTCCTCCAGTGTTCTACACACTAAAGTGACATTTGTGAATCACACCTTTGCTGATACCTGTCCCTCAAAACAGAGAGCAAGAACTTTCCAGTGCCAAAAAAGCCACAACAGCGACCTCTCATTTTCCAACACGTAGGGTGTCTGGCAGAAAAGGATCAGAAAAGGATCAATGCAAGTTTGGACAGGGTAGTGCTTGAAAAACAATTCCACTTGAGAATCAGCACTGGCCAGGACAAAAGCAACACATACACATTTCCTCTCATTTCTCAACAAAAGCGGCACCTGCCAGATTACTGTGCCCAGCAGTAGAGGCAGATTGTCTGACAGGAGGAGGACTGGGCTCCAAGCCATTTGCCTAGGGAGAATCTAGCTGCCATTTTCTTCCTGCAGCAAAAATGCTGAAGTTTGGAAGACAAATCATTTTGGTAATACGTCATTTAAAAAAGGGGCTTTATAAAGAAAAAAAAAGCTGTAGGAGCAAGTCTGAATTGATTTGTGTCTTTAAATGTAAGAGTAGCCACATTCCAAAACCTCACATACACTTTAGCAAAGCTAGTATCACATGCTGTATCTGGTTGCCTGCTAATTTTCATTTGACAGAGATGTAACAACTTCTCTGCATTAAGATCTCTATGGCCCCTCTGGACACTTAATACATATGCCAAAATATTAGTAAACATTAATAAAACACTGCATCCCCTAATAAAACAGAACTTACCATAATGTCATGCAATTCTACAAAATTACTTTAATATTTAAAACTGGAAGATAATGTGCAGGAAAACAGCTAGTGATCCATTTAGGAACCAGCCTTTGCAGAAGCCTTAAGACAATGATTTTTAACATCCTTCCTCAATAATTCTTCGGCCTGCCAGGAAGGTCACACAAGTCACAGCTCAACAGCTGATCACATGCTTTCAATACCAAGAGTCCCAGGTTCAGTCCCTGGAACCTCCAGATAAACTTGGGAAAGACTGAAACTGCAGTCAGTTGGTACTGAGCTAGATAACCCAACAGTCGGGCTTGGTATCATTCCTGTCCCCACATTACTATGCTAAGACTAGGATGTGCTGTCTGTTTCCACAAAGAACCAAGCCTATTGGATCTCACTGTTGCCTCATGTAAAACAACATCATACCTGGGGATATTCTCACCCACCACCCACCCAATGTCTAGCTCAGCATTTCAGGAAAGAGCAGTGTTGGTGGCTGTTTGACCTTCAGATAAATCTTCTCCCAGAGTTACTGTTCTTTTATCTGAAGAACTCTTAGAGAAGCAACCCCCCACATCCCAATCCCAGCACAAATGAGGAGGATGTAATGCTGGCTTACAGAGAACAATATGCCAAACATCAAGATCCATAAAAAGCAGATTAAAAAAACACAAACAACCTACACTTGAAGCATTTTTCATTCGACAAAATCAAGTTCGGAAAGACTGGTGATTCTCCAGGGTCAAAGACTCATGTCACATAAAAGTTACCAACTAGAAAGCATTTTCAGTCTTTAAGAAAATGGCTCTTGCCTATCTAGGCAACTGCTAAACCTCAGCAGTCTGCATTTTGACCAGAGAACAGGAAGAAACTGAAAATGTTGGAGCAAAAGTGTAACACATTTCTTTGCCATAGGTGGCAGGCCAATAACAAAGAGGCTTTTTTTTAAATTAAGTATGCAAGGACTCATTCGCTTCTCATTTTGAATGCATTCTGGAATTTCTACAAGAAAGCTAGAAATGAAAGTTTAAGTGACTATTTTAACAACAGGGAATGGGGAGAGCTTTTGTGTTCACACTATGCACCATAAAGAAGAATAGAGTGGCTAAGTAGAATGGCTAAATCCAAATGAATTCATCTAACAAAAGACAATGTTGTGCATCATTTTGAATCTTAGTTACTTGAAAAGCAACAGCAACACAATATAATGTCAAGCTACCATCGTAACACCATTTTCGTAACACTATTTTCAGCAAAACGAAGCGAAAGGTAGCAAGTACTGGACACTTTTAAGAACAGCAGCAACCAACACCTGATAACAGCATGTGGAGGCAGCGTGAAGCATTGTTTGAATAAAGTCGCTAGATGGCAGTGCAATTTTGTTTTGGTTTTTGTCCCCTTCCTAACAAAAGGCAAAATTTAGTTCAAAAGTTCTGTGTCAATTCACACAAGTTTCCCCAAAGCAGCTCTTTCAACTGTTCCACATCATGCTCAGCCTTAACATCACAGTGCTGCAGTTGGGCCTCCAATTTCTATTTCTCCCAGCTAAAAGCGCTACGCACAGTGCCATGATATACCTCGCATTTCTTCCATCTTTCAAGCACCACAGCTTTAGCACGTGTTGTTAGGACCCAGATCTATAGGCGATCTGCAGAGGGAAGCTGCTATGCAAGGCAATGTGATTTTCAGGATGTGGCAGACCACTGCAATTCTCTTGACTGAAGATAAAGTATGCATAACTTTGAAAAGTCCTGGAACAACCCCCACCTCCTTTTTAAATGCACTTTTCTCTACTTACACATTTCATGGCACACAGGAGCATAAAATCATAGAGCTGGAAGAGACCTCAAGGGCCATCCAGTCTGACATCAAGAAAACACAATCAGTGCACCCCTGGCATTTATGAGGAAACTGAGTAAAACACCAGTCTCTGGGAGAATGAAAAGCTAGGTACCTGTTTGCCCCTGTAGAAGAGCCTTTGCCTGTCAGGTGTGACACTGAATGTCTCATATATCCTCTGGCGCAGGTCTTCCACCTTGGTGAGCTTGGAAAGGGAGTCCACTCGATGTGTCTCCTTCCCATCCATGGTGCGTACTTGGATCCACATTGTGGTGGTGCTTCTGTCAAAAGACAAGTAGAGCCAACGGATTACAAACATGGGACAGACGGGAATGGGAAAGACACACACCACACACTGCAATCCATCACATCCCACACTAATACTCAAAAGTACCATACTATTTCCTGGACACTCCCCCCTCATCAACACCTCTCCACCCAGGCCCTTCATCTATATGTATATATATGTATATGTATATTGCATGCATATTTGTTGTTAACTGCCCTTGAGTCGATCTCGACCCATGGCAACCCTATGGATGAGACATCTCCAAGACCCTCCATCCTCCACTGCTCTGCTTAAATCCTGCAAACCCATACCCACGACCTCCTTAATAGAATCCATCCATCTGACATGTGGCCTTCCTCTCTTCCTATTTCCCTCCACCTTTCCCAGCATTATTGTCTTTTATAATGAGTCTTCTCTTGTCATGATGTGTCCAAAGTACAACAGCCTCAGTTTGGTCATCTTGGGCTTCCAGGGAGGTTTCCAGCTTGATCTGCTTTAGGACCCATTTGTTTGCCTTTTTGGCTATCCACGGGATCCTCAACACTCTTCTCCAGCACCATATCTCAAAGGAATTGATTTTCTTCCTAATATCTTTCTTAACTGTCCAGCTCTCACATCCATACATGGTAATAAGGAATACAATGGCTTGTATGATTCTAATTTTTGTGCTAAGTTGTTTATCTTTGCATGCTAGAATCCTTTCTAGTTCTTTCATAGCCACCCTCCACATTCCTAATCTTCTTCTGATTTCCTGACTGCAGTCCCCATTTCTATCAATGTTTGATCCCAGGTATGAGAATTCTTTTACTATTTCTATTTCTTCACTGTCTAGCTTGAACCTGTAAAGGTCCTCGGTGGTCATTATTTTTGTTTTCTTTATGTTCAACATTAAGCCTGCCTTTGCACTTTCTTTGATCTTCCCTAGTAGGTGTTCCAGGTCTGTGAGGTTTTCTGCTAGTATGATGGTGTCACCTGCATATCTTAGAATAGTTTGTTGATATTCCTTCCCCCTATTTTCTCCTTCTTCGGTGTCCAAGCCCACTTTTCTTATAGTATGTTCTGCATACAAGTTGAACAGATACAGTGAAAGTATGCAACCTTGTCTGATTCCTTTGCTAATTGGGAACCATTCTGTTTGTGTTCTGTTCTGACACTGTGTGTGTGTTCGTATGTGTGCGTGCGCGCGCGCACCTATATATATATCTGCCTTTAGGATTTCCCCAAGACCGTAATATTCCTTCCAGTTCAGTACTCTCCCTGGGAGCCCCAAAGATCCCCCCCAAGACCCTCATGCTCTCC